GTCAAGGGTAAACACACCTGGTCAGTGCTGCAAGTACATTAGGTGCATGTTTTTATTTACAGTATTTTCAACTTATGATGAGTTTATCAAGTCGTTGCCCAATCATATGTCAAGGAGCATGTATATTCTGAAGTTTTGCAGTCACTTTAGTGTAAATCTGTTTTTTTTCCATTTGGGTAGATACCAGGTAGATCTGCAGTTTGGAAACTATCTTTCAGTTCCAGAAATTTTGGATGTTGAACCTCCTGGACTCATCCTCTAACTTCCTTTTCTCTCATTTTTTCCAGCATTTTTTGCTCTACTTTCTGGGAGATTGCTACTTTATCTTTCAGCCCTTATAGGATTTCTATTTCCACTTCTTTTTTTCACTTCTAGGAGCTCTTTTTTTCACAGTGTAGTATCTTACCTTTGAGCATGTTAATGATAACTTTTACATATTTGTTAGATTTTACCATTTTCTTCATCCTGGGCAAGTTGTTTTTTTTTCTTGTTTGTTTTGGTATCTGTCTCTGCTACTAAGGGGTTTTCTTGAATGCTTGAAATAAAATAAAAATAAAATCACATTTAATCATGAGTGAGTTGCTAAAAGCTCCCAGCACACTGCATGTGTGGAGAGAGCCTGTAAATAGTGGCCTTGCTGGAGGTGGTGTGGCCGGACCCCACCTCCTTGCTGGTGGCTGGCTTCAGCATCTTTGCTCTCTTACCTCAGGCCTTTCAGTAGAAGACCTTTACTGTCCCTCCTGAAGGTGATGGGCCTGACTGCCACGCTATAGAGCTAGAGGGGGAAGCAGGCTGGGGGGAATCTCATCAACCCAGATGTAAATGTTGATATACTCTCCCTGTGGCGATCCTGCTCAGCTGTGCCTGGCAACCCCTAATCCAGAGACCCTTTGTTTTACTGTCTTCAGAGAATATTGTCCATCTTCTGCTAGGGAAAGGGCCAGTTTCCTGGCTGTGTAGAATGGGAGACTGGATCTGGGGTCTAGCCACCTTTGAAACAGACTGTCATTTATCTTCCCTCACCCCTCTTTCCAGAGATAGCAGGTGCCACCCATTCCTGAGCCTTTTGGAGGCCCTGTCTTAAAAATTAGGTTGTGTCAGTGCTACTCACTGTTGGCTTTGGATCCATCTGTTCCAGGTTTCAAAATTTTATTGCTGATGTTGTCTCATATGTTCATTGGCCTTTTGGATGTGTGCCTTTTAAGAGATATCCCTTTATTCTTAATTTAGGAGGGAACAGAAAGATGTGCGGATTCTTGCTTACACCGTGCTTCTGGGGATCTTATTTCAGGAGAGCGACCTTTCAAATGTAATGAGTGTGGAAAAGGCTTTGCCCAGAAGCACTCCCTCCAGGTCCACACCAGGATGCACACGGGGGAGCGACCATACACCTGTACCGTGTGCAGCAAGGCTCTCACCACCAAGCATTCGCTGCTGGAGCACATGAGTCTGCACTCAGGTAGCCGGCTTTGCACCAGAGGGCCAACTGCCAGAAGATTCCCATAACCCAGGGTGGACATTACCAAAATCTAAATGGTGTTTTCTCAGCCTGATATCATTTCCCACGTGGTGTCATTGAAAGACAGAATTATACATCTGTCAGAGTCTAGTTCAGAGTTCTGCACAGCACTGGTCCTTAAGCTAGAGCCTATAATCTGGCTTCTGGGAGTTCACTGTACAAATATGTTTTATTAATTATTTTACTTTGAGTGCCTTTGGGGGAAACTTAAATTCTCCAGTTCTACCCCAATCTCCACCACTCCCTATTGCCTTATATACCTTTGCACATTTATGTTTCTACAGTAGATTGTGAAGGCTTTTGGGTTTGTAGACAAGTCATTTGTATCATTTGTAGAAAATGGGGACCTGGGCCCACTATGGTATTTACCTTATTAGCGAGCACTCTAGGTCTTTATAGGTTTTTGCATGTTTTAGTGTTTTGGTTTTTTTTGGCAGGACAGAAGTCTTTCACCTGTGATCAGTGTGGAAAATATTTCAGCCAGAAAAGACAACTAAAGAGCCATTACCGAGTTCATACAGGTACAATAAAGTCAGAGAAGATTTGGATTGATGGGGAGGAAATGCAAATGCAAATTGTTTCTGAAACATTAGTTAGGTTCATATTGTAGATGATAAATGGGTATTTGGGAAAAAGAGTCTTAGAGAGCAATCTAAATTAGATGTTCTCCTGTTATCCTACGCTAGCTGTGAATTATATTTAATTTTTATACTACAGTTTTGATGCCACACACAGAAACCCTACAGAATCAATATCTTTCAAAAGTGCCACTTGCCTAAGGAGGAGGCTTCAGTTGATTGGTGATTAGTAGTGCCTGGACAGAGACATCATCACCCCATGGCTGTCAACCCAGGCTTTCTCCCACATGGTGCTACCTGTTGTCCTTTTTCTTTCCTGCCAGCTGATAACAAATGAATGTGGGTTGGGAGATCATTTGTGGCCACAGTCACACGAGTGCTTGAAGGGAAAAGGAGATGGGAGGATTAGAAGGGTCCCAGC